AATTGTACCTTGATTCTATCCGATTGGCTACAAACTTGGTAAAGAGTGGCATACCTTATTGTGTTTCCTCTGCCAACACCAACAGACTAACAACTGTGAGCTAGGAGTCTGGGTGACGACAAAATACATTTCTTCTACGTATACAAAGAGCAAGTTTCTAGCCCCTTTAATTGCAAGAAACCCAGACAGATACATATAAATGACCCTTTTCACTAAGGGACGTGGGCTGAATCAACAAGGCCGTGGAAAATCTGTGATCGGCTCTCTCCAGCATTTTAGAAAATAAAATTGTGGCTTTGGCACCCTGATCCTGGTTCTTGCTCCCCATGCAGTTTTGTTGACCTAAACCGACCCATCTCTGGGGCTATTATCAGCCCAGGAAGTGGGGGAGGTGACATAGACCAATAGGATGTGTGTCCTTTCCAGGGCTCTTTTTGTAGAAAAAGCCCAGCAGGAACTCATTAGCATAATAGGCCACACCCAACAACAGGAACTCATTAGCATATTGGGCCACACCCCTGACAGCACGGCTCATTAGCACATGAGGCCACACCCCCATGTTACCAGAAGTGTGGTTATCCAGCGACACCCACCTTTTGCTTGTTATTCTGTTTACCTTGTTTGTTGTCAAAACCCAGAGCTTTTTTTGTAGCAGGAACTTCTTTGCATGTTAGGCCACACCCCCTAATGTAGCCAATCCTAATGAGTTTCTGCTGTTGGGTGTGGCCTTTTATGCTAATGAGTTCCTGCTGGGTGTGGCCAACTTGGGAGCCAGCTGGAACTCCGTTCCTGTGCGTTCCTGCCCAAAAATAGCCCTGGTCCTTTCTGATCCTTCAGGGCCAGCAAGAGTTTCTATTGGTCCACTTCAATTGCTGGACCTGGAAATACACAGAAAGGTTAAATCCCCTCCTCCCTTCATTCTGCGGTCAGATTCAAATTCCATCCACCACTACGCCCCCCCCCCCAACTGAAATTTCCATTTTAAAAACTCTGGGACAATCCAGTCACAGATCTCATCCAGTTTAGGCCTTGGAAGTCAGAGACGAGTGAGTTTCAGCATCATTGATCTGGTCTAATTACAACAGAATTGATTTTTTTGCTGTACAAATTATAAGGATTTTGGAAGATTGGAGGGATCCTGGATCCTTAGGGGTTTGGGATACATTTAGTTTCTCCTGTTCTTAGCCTACGTGATAAGCCCAAATCCCTATCCCCAGTTTCGTAGTAGGTCAAAAGACTGGGGCCTTTAAACATGGGTTAGGCAAGATGTATAAACCAATGTAAATACACATGATTACAAATGTTATAAAACGTTTATTTCATTTTCTTTAGTTTATGCAGTTACAGTTAAGAGACTCTCCTAACCCTTGTACCCAGTTTGGTATTTGACATTTGTTGATTTATCTTTTAAGAGCTTGTATGGCAAAGGCCATTATCTATGGGGCATGGGAAATGCAAGTAGTCTTTTACAAATTCTTAAATGGGACATTTATCAAGCTTGTTCTCATCAGTCCTGTCCTATGAGTGTACTTCTTTCCACTCCATTCAAATAATAAAACACAGGAAGGACTCAAAAGCAACCTACCATTGGCTGTCACTGACACGTTGTCAAAGTCATGGTGGTCGGGCTCATTCCAGGTCTCAAAATTCCACTTGGCAACGTGTTCCAACCCATACCGCTCTGGAAATCAAAGGGCCATTTATGATGGCTCAGTAGCATTGGAAGAGCACTCTTCCACCAAGATAGAAACGCAAATTTTAAACTGAAGGACTATTGTACCAGACGAATCTCCTCTTCAAAAGTGCAACAACCTCTGCCTCTAAGGGTATATTTATAAATGAGGCAGGTAAAATGCATATTCACAGATAGCTTGATCAATTTGTGCCCCAAAAAGCAACCTACTGATGTGTTTCCAGGCATGGCCTTGGTTTTTTTGAGTATTGGAGATAAAACCTAAATGGTCTTTAATGGTGGAGAAAAACAAACAAATCCATGGGCTGCTTTCTATCTGCTTCTCCTGGACACAGCATAACACCTCCATACCCTCAGGTGGGCCAACAGATCCAGATATATCTCTGGGGTTGGCAATCTCTCCCTGTGCCTTTCTCTGGAAACTGAAACCAAATGGCATCTCTTCATAAAAGCAAAGAACCAGTCCCTACTTTACTTTACTCCCCTTTCTTTCAGTGGAAGGAACTTAAGAACCCAGGAGGAACCACCTCTGCATAGCCAAGGAGTTCAAATTCGTAAGTAGTTGTCTCCGTCATAGGACAACACTTGGCTTGGAACATTCCAGAATATAGTGGTTGGCCACACTTCCTGTCAGCCATGATGTGATTGGCCCTGTCCCTGAGGCCATTCTGAGGTGATGCCTACTATCCTTTTTCAAACTTCCAATAATGGCCACAGATACAGCAAGGCTGGGATCCCCTACAGTGTTTTTATCCCAAGGTTAATGTGGCCACAACTTTATTACTCTATTTACAAATTTTATACCTGGTCCAAGACGGCAAGCAGATTAAAAACATGCATAATAAAAACACATCTTAAAAAACCATTCAAACCAAACAAAAACACATTGTTTAAAAAAATTACCACCAAAGTTAAAATACACACATAAAAATATAAAACAACAATTCAAACATTGGGCAGAAAGGAGGGACCGTTGAGGGAAGATCAAATGAAACCAAAAAGCCTTCGTTGGGTGACAGAAGACGGAAACAGAAGGAGGCATACCAGTCTCCCTGGGGAGAGAGTTCCAGAGTTTTGGTGCCATGGCAAAGAAGGTCCTCTCATGGGTTGCCGCCTGCCTAATTTCTGAAGGCGGGGGGAACCCAAAGCAGGGTCTCAGAACATGACCGTAGTGTTCAGGTAGGTTCACGTGGCAGTAGGCAGGCCTCCAGGTATGCTGGTCCCAAGCCATCTAGGGCTTTGAAGGTCAAGCCCAGCACCTTGAATTGTGCCCAGAAAAGACTGGGAACCAGTGCAGAGGGGCCAAGGAAGACTGAAGTGACATGGTCCCTACAACCCACTCCAGCCAGCATCCTGTACGAATTAAGATTCCCAAACACTTTTCAAGGGCAGGCCCAGATAAAGTGCATCCCAGCAGTCTAATCTAGACTTCAATGGTGCCTAGGTCCTTTGAATTCCAGTGTAACTTTCTCCCAGCCATCCAACTGATACCAGGTACTGTTTGCTGATCTATAAAGCCAAAAAGTACCCAAACTGGAGGTTAACTAGAAAAGGCTTCGACTGTATAAATTATCCATTTTACACTGGAACATCTTTTCATGGTGACACTGAACTGAGAAACCATTTTAAAACGCTTACCTACATATCTTTTGGCCAACTGTGCGATTAAGCTCTTCCACCGTATCACTTGATGTTTATCTTCAAAGTCAGTGAAGTATCCTGAAGGACTTCCCATCAATTCAAATCCTTAGTTCAGTGTTCAAAAACAAAACAAAAACAATCTGATCAGTCATAAATTAGCAATAGTTTTTGGGCTCACTGATGCCAGGAAGACTAATAAGCATTATATAGAGGAAAGTCTATGATCTTGGGAAACATGGGAATCCCAGATTCTCAATGTCTGGTGCCAGCCTGTTCATCTACACCAGAAGACAGCCTCTTGGCTGAGTTGGGAACATACATTTCAGTGCATTATTGCAAAAGCTGCAGAGATCTGCAACTTCTCCTTGTACGTGAGGTATGAGAGCAATTCCCAAAGGTTTAGCTTAAACGTAACACTGACTTGTTCATTTCCGGCAGTTTTCAATTAAATTGCTACACCAAACTTCAACTGCCTTCAGGTGAAAACTGCCCTTAGCATTGGCAGACTGCAGTAACATACAGGTGTAACTTTACCTGGATTTAGCTTGTTTTCCCAGAGAAGATCCATAAAGTTATCCAGGCTGGTGAAATTGTAATGAAGTGTCCCGTTTGTCACCCTGAAGAAGGCAAGTTTGATTTTAGAATTCCTGTGACCCAAGTAATCTCCCCATAAAACAGTAAGTATACACAGGGTACATACATGCATATTCATTACCTGGTGACTTCAGCGCTAAATGTTGGTTGGCGTGTGTGAATGCACGAACGGGAATCCAACTCCATATACAGAACTTTGATATTTTCCTACATCATTTTGAATACAGTACTTTTTGCCATTGAGCCAATTTGTGCATCTAGCTACAGATCATCCAGTGTTTAGTGAAGCATGTGTGAACTACTCTATTTAGCAAATATGGACATTTAGCATATGTCTACAGTTGTGATTTTCCCATGAAGGCAGAAGTCTCACCTACTCAATCCACTGAATTAGCTTGAACAGATACATTGACATGGATCTTCCTCCAAGGAGCCTTCGTCCAGTCTGAGGAGACTTCCAATTCTGTGGAAGGAAGAGCTACTTAAGTTGGACGATGACTCCTTAGGCTGGAAGAAGGATTCAAACTTTGCTCCATGGAGAGGTGGTAGGATTAGGGGTACGATCCAACCCAATATATAGGGCTTCAGGGGTGTAGCTATTAATTTTTTTTGCTACAGATCCATTAGTCTCTCTCTCTGTTTCTCACTGTAGAGATGGAAGCATCCTTCAAGGGCTTCCAGTTTGTGCTACCAATTTAAACCATTATCTCCAAGGTTTAAGATCATGTAGATAAACAAAAACTGTGTAAAGGATCCAGTGGACAAGATTTCCTGAAGGCCAGAAGAAATTGATTGGTGTGTGTGTGTGTATATATGTAATACTCTTAGTAAGCAGAACACTCAGGTTACTCAAGTTCAGGGCAGAGTGCACCATTGGCAAAATTTAGCTCCGCACACTTAGGCTACTTACCAGCATTTCTGCAAGACATTCCAGTTGGTTTTCTGTTGAAGTATTTGCTCACACAAATGAACAAGTGCGCCAATGATTAATTGTAGTTTTCTATCAACTGAATGTGCCATAGTTCAAACCACATGCTGACTTCACATAAAGAGGGGGATGTACTACATCTGGGAAACCAGAAACCACCTTGTATGAGGGCTTTCAATGTCACATGTCCTCATCTGAAACCTTGGACAAATGGAAGCCATATGTTTTGATTTTACAAGCACAATGTGACTTAAGATATGCCCTGTTTTTATGTAAGTTAGCAACAATGGTAACAATGTGCAGAGGCATCAATTATGCGCTCAGTTATAGCGCATTCAACTAGGCTGTGACCGTTGGGGTGCTGAGCAAAGCCAGAGTCTTCCAGTAGTGAAAAGCAACTTGTAGGCACAGGTCCCAAAGAGGATGAAGGGGGCAGGATCTCCAGAACCTTGGAGAGCTCAAATGACTAGAGCCACCACCACCCCTATAGCGGGTGTTGCTAGAGCCCAACTGGACTCTTAAGTAATGATGCTGGCTTGCTTGCATGTTTCGAGCACAGCTGCTCCATCAATGAGAGCTAGCAGGAAACCAAAGGGCAGTGCCTTATGATTTTGAGCCATCTATTCCAATATTTTGAACATAGCTGCTTCATCAATGAGAGCTAGCAGGAAACTGAAGGAAACTGTGATTTGGAGCCATCTATTCCAATGTTGCATGGTGGCCTCTAGGCCCATTTTCCACAGAACCTATTGTATAAACATATATCAGAGTTTTACAGTTGCCATCAAGCTCGAACTGTCCTAATATGACTAATAACAATGTGTTCTCTTGGAGACCTAGCTTTGGGCTCCTTCCCAGGTTCAGGATTGGGAACCAGTGTTTTGCTTTTTGATGAGAAGGGGGCAACTGTACCCAGACTCCTAAAGCAGGCTTCAGCCTCAGTAATGGAATTGCCAAGGACTGAAGTAGACAGAACAGGAGATATGCAGTGATGAGTTAGGGATGTGATGGTACTGACAAGGGTCCCCCCCCCATGCCATAGTGCGACTGAACCGATCTGACAGCCTGTCTAAACTGCTCCATCCTGGGCAACCGATCAATGTTTAATTTGTAAGCAAGATACACATTGAAAAGGAGTCTGTAATGACCACACTTGCCACCAGTTAACAGTCAAGCGTCTTAAAATTGAGCCGTATATAAAAAGGTATTCAGGAAAGGTCCCATGCACAGACGTATCGCATCCAGCTGCTGGAATATGCTTTACTTGCTCTTATTCCCCCCCACCTCTTCCCTTTTGCACAAAATGTTCTTGACAAATATCGTCATAAATTACCACTGTGATATGAATATAAACCATGCAGGGCTCACAGAGGATACAACACGAGAAGTAAACAAGGAGAGCCTTTGAGGAGATAAAACCGCGGCCTGCGATCTCCCCCTTCTCTACCAGCCTGGCTCCGTTAGCCGTGCTCTTTCGGGTTTCTCTTAGCACCATGCACGCTGCAGGGAGGAGGCTGAACAGAAGGCAGGCAAAGGGAGAGGAGAGAGGAGAGAGATGAAGACAAAGAATCCTTTGCTGGCTGCTTGAGAGAGAGGTGAGTGTTTGCTGAGAAAACATTAAACGGGCTCTGCGTCGCTTAAGGGTTCCAGTCATCCATTTTAGTTTTAAGAAAATGTGAAGGAGACAGGGCAGTTGGAACAAAGAAAATCTTTCTCGTGGGCTTTAAAAAGACAATCAGAGCAAACAGCGCTGCTATTTTTGACACATTCGAATCAGCTGAGCATCTGGGTGAGTAATTTGAACTGGTGCTGTGAGCTGGCCACACTGGCAAGGTTTGATAGCAAGCAGAGAAAATGATCTTAAGCCCATAAGTCACTCTGATTCCGCCCGCCCCCCTCCCCAGAGACCTGTGCAGGATAAAACGAAAATGGATACTGCTTGCTCTAGCTCTGATGTGTCACTTGTCTGCTAGATTGTTGTTGGAGGGGTGCTATTTGTGTGCTGATACGTTAATAGTACAGAGCATGGGTTTCTGTAACGCTGCTTCCTGATACAGGAAACAATGTTCTGAAAAATCTCTGAGCTGAATGCTTGCATCCTGTTACCTAATGTAACAGGTGTTCAACAGCTTAACCTGTTTCCAACTAGAATCAAAGGGTTTTTTTCCCTTTGCACTCTCTCCATGAATTAAAGAAGTGGAGGGGGAAATGCTTAGGTTACATAGGTAAAGGTAAAGGTTCCCTTGCTCGAAAGCCAGTCGAATCTGACTCTAGGGTTGCGGTGCTCATCTCCATTTCAAAGCCGAAGAGCCAGTGCTGTCTGAAGACGTTTCCGTGGTCATGTGGCCGGCATGACTAAACACCAAAGCACACGGAATGCCGTTACCTTCCCACTGAAGTGGTACCTATTTATCTACTTGCAATTTCTTGCTTTCGAACTGCTAGGTTGGCAGGAGCTGGAACTAGAGATGGGAGCTCACTCCGTCATGCGGCACCCGGGTCTCGAACTGCTGAACTACCGACCTTCCACAGCCTGCAGTTCAGCGTCTTAACCACTTGAGCCACCGCAGCTCCTTAGGTTACATAGCAACAACAAAAATTCCTATTAAAGGAGGCACTGGCCTCCTTTATCAGTAGCTTAACTTATAGCCCTGACCTGGATAGTCCAGGCTAGCAAAGTTGGCCTTGGTCAGTATTTGGATGGGAGACCACCAAGGAATACCAGGCTTGCTACATGGAGGAAAACAATGGCAAACGACTTCTGAATGTCTCTTGCCCTGAAAACCCTATGGGGTTGCAATAAGTCAGCTGTGACCACCTGATGAGAAAAAAATCTCATTAAGAAACATTGTTGCCTTCCAAAGAACATTCATAGTAATGTTCAACAATAACTGAAAATCAACACGATAAAAAATAATCTTCATATAATTATCTAAACAAGACAGCGCCAGCATACTAAAACTGATCGGCTACTAGCCTAGGGGCGGTTTTACGAATTCCACTGTTGACCCCTGGACGTTGATTCGTGGAGTTTATATGCTTCCATTTTTAACGGCTTGTTTTATTATTGATAATTTTATGATTTTATTTCTCATCCTTTTGTTGTTGGTTTATTTGGTGAACTGCCTCCAGTAGATCTCTGGAGAGGCAGCATATATGTTTTCTAAATAATCAACAAGCCTTAGAAAATAGTGTATTTCAAAAAGTCTGTGATCATAACGGTATTCCCAGCAATCTCCCTGAAGTTGCACTGAACCCCTCTGAGATTCGATGCAATTAGAACTAGTTTCCACACGTCTCACTCTCTGCCTGATGTGCAACCTCTGAGGAAGAGAGAGCAGCTTGTTCCCATGGTGGGGTCTGTTCCACACTGGGGCTATTTTGTGCAAACCAGAGAACTCTATTTTGGCACGAGCGCATGCAAAATTACAATGGAGAATCTGCCGCTTGATGATTCCCTCTTCCCTCCATTTCCCCAGAACAACCATGTGAAGGAGGTTAGGGTGAGAGGCAGCGACTGGCCCAAAGTCACACAGTGAGTTTCGTGGCTGAGCAGTGGTTTGAACTCAAATTCAGGCCGCAGACTTACATCCTAACCACAATACCACGCTGCCTAGTTATTAATGTACTAGAGCATTAAGGAATAGAAGTCGAAGTCCATTATACATTATTTGGATATGGAACTAGGAGGAACTGGGATTGTTACTAAGATTTTCACTTGGCAAGAGGGCATAAAGCAATCACTCTTAATGGGGTGCCCATGAGTGCCATTGCATCCCCTATGGCTTTCCTCCACCTCTTTGGAGAAGAAGGTGCTTCAGAAGAGCCCAGGAGGCATCACCTTTGTGTCTACAGAGAGCCCCCATTTGGAAACACCTGTCTCCATTACATGTACTGATGAGCTATATGAGTTAAAATGGTCTGGAGGAAGGTCTAAGCCTCCTTCTTCATGCATATGGTCCCAATCTTAATTGGGCCCCTGCATGCCTGGGAAATATGAACTTGAGAACATGCTTCCACACCTGAGATAAAGAACAGTTAGGTCCTCTGGGTGGCAATCATGCAACCCTAGTGAAGTCAGATTCTGTCTGTGGT